ATCGTTGGGCGAGTTCTTGCCACGAATCAATGCAGCCCTCGGGCAGCCTGTTGAACCATTCGTATGCCGGTCCATCTAAGGTGGAGAGGAACCATCGACACAAATATTCGTCTGACGCCCCCACCATCATCATGCTGTTCTGGTATTTACTGTAGTGTTCCTGGGGGTCCGTTTTCCCGTTGTAGGGCTGTATGTGTTGCCCTCGGTATTTTTCCGGGATCCGGGCCGCCAATAACCTTAGGGTAAATGGCGTCCGAGTCCGGAGCTGGATGACGGGTTCCCCGGAGCCCTCGGCCACCCTCTTCTGTAACTCCTCCATTTTGGCCATCATGGCCTCGTATTTGAGATCTGAATGAGGGGTGGAGGTGGTGGCGTGAGCTTTGTTGGACTCCATCTCGTCAAGCCGGCGTTGGAGGGCCGCAATAATCTCGTCCCGGGGATCCTTCGGGAGGGTCTCCGCCCCCTGCGAATGAACCCGGGCCGAGTGGGCCTGGTTGATTTGGTGCCGAGCATCATCGGCATGGAGGGGTGCCTTGCCTTTGTCCCGAGGGGGACGCTCCTCGTCTGCCCTCGAAACAGATCCCCCGCTTTCCTGGGGCCTTTGGAGTGCTTTCCCCCCGAGGCGGTCTTGGACCCCTCGGCGGTCTGGCCCCCCTCCGAGCCGGTTGAGGGCAGAAGTACGGGGCCTTTCCCTGTTGTCATTATGGCGGTCCCGGGACTGAACTTCCTGGGAGGACGTATCTTGGGCCACCACCCCTTCGTCGTTTCTCACCCGAGGGGTGGGATTTCCGAAGGGGTGTGGCAGAGGGGGAAGTATGATATTTTCCCCGATCTGAGGGTGAGCTGGAGCCAGGGTGCCGAAGGCACCCGGGTTCTGGGTGAGCGTCTGGATGAAGGCGGAGAGCGCCGATTGCACGTCGATGGTGAGAACCGGAGGGCTGACTTGGTCATCGCTCCGGTTTTTCTTCTTGGCCTCGATGCCGAGGCGGGCATCGGGGGCATTTTGTTGGATCTGAAGGCGTAGGTCGACAGCCGCCTGTTCCAGCCCAGCGATGACACCGCCCTCAGGAGCCCTGTGAGAGGCTTCGGGGGCGTTGACGTCGCCGAGGGCCAGGTTCTTGTCTTCTACGTTCTTTGAGTTGGCACGTGTTGTCCTCACCATTTTGATAAAGGGCTAGTGTTTTGTGTTTGGTCGAGGGGGAGGGTTTCTTACTCGATTGTTCAACCTCTCAACGAGAGCACCAAATGATGGATAGTCTACCCGGGGGTATATATCCGAAGGGTTATTACGGGGAATAACTTAGAGAGAAGTCAGAGCAAGTAAGTAAAAGTAGAGAGAGAGTGTATTCAGTATGAATGCCGTTTTCAGCGTGGTTACAAATGAGGAAATGGGGTGCTATTTATAGTAGCAATAAATGCCGGGCAGGGACACGTGTCAAGCGCTCATTGGCCGAGGGGTCACCTCAACTGGTTGGCGCTGGCAACCGCATGTGGCCGCATTTAATGCGGCTGTTGGATGGGACGTCTGTGCAGGGTACGGTGATCTGTACGCATGTGAGGCGGATATCTTGTCGAGTGAGATGCCTTCGGCTATAGAGCAGTAGCCGAGGGCTCTTCCACCCGATGGCACCCTGGTGCCGAGGGCTCACAATGCCGAGGGCTACTGTTTTCGCCGTTTTCTCCCAGTTTCTTAATTTGCTTGAGAACCCCGTTCTGTGAGAATTTGGAGCCTTCGGCCAGGGGGCCGAAGGCACCCCTGGCGCGTAGTGCGGACTGCCTGGTACTCTGGGCGCTGTGATTTGGGCTCGTTGGGCCTTTTGGGCCTTTTGGGCCTTTGCTGGAGTAGTAGGAGTCTGTGGGCCGGGGGTTCCCGAGCCATATACTCCATCACAAGTTATAAGACATTTAGACCGGCGAGTAAAATGACGTGTAGAATGGCATGTACACGAAGAATCATTGTATATTGAATATCTTGTTTTATTTTGAGACCCTAATAATTCCACATGGGCTGGCCACCATAAAAAAATACTACTAATATTCACGGACTCTAGCACCTCGTACAACCCATGCCGGTGGTTTAGGAGGAGGCCGTATCATTGGTAACTCTAATTGAGTCTCCATTGTCGAGCGAAATCTGGCCTATTCGAATCTTGTACACCTCTCCTCGTCCCACATGCTTCTCGCATGGGCCCTCCTTCTTCGCTTCATACTGGCCGCCGATTACTTGCGAATTCACCTTGCACGAGCCGCACCAGATCGGCGGAATTGTCAAACCCTACGAAGAGGGAAGAGTCCGCCTTTTTGTTAACCTGCCACCGACGAGAGAAAAGCCTCCCACCACCACGCCAGCCAAGACAATCGAATCCTATTGCTGCGGGAAAAAAATAAACCCTAGCCTAGCGCCGCTGCGCTCCTGCTCTCTCTTCCGGGTCACCTAACTTCCACGTTGGATACTTGGACGTTAACATATAAAGGCTTCTAGTTAGAAAACAGATTTAAAAGTAACTAATTTATAATGCCCACTTAAAAAGAAAGGAGAGCATGAACACAGAATTCTTTGTGGTCTGTATGCGATGATAGCAATAATGCCCACTTATCTTCTAAACTAAATAAAGCTTTTTGGACTTCCGTCTTTCTCTCCCTAGGGTTAGCAGCGGACTACTCCCCTCACGTAGGGTTTTCTTGTGCCGCCGATTTCAATCGGGGTGGATTAAATCGTGTGATTCCTTTTGGTGCTTTGGAGAGACCGAATTGATCAGGAGCAGTGTTAGTTCGACGATTAGGCAATGACTAGACAATGGGCAGTACATTGCAAGAGATTGGGACTTGGGGATCAAGACGGTTGTTTGGTGTTTCCATCGATGGGCGATGTAGATGACAGAGATGAGAGCACTCTCCATTGTGTGTTGGTAGGCATTGGTGATTTTGCTAGGAGGATACGGCCCCCTCCTGAAACATCGTCATGGGTTGTGCGAAATGCTAGAGTCTGTGAAAGATCTCCAATAAGTTTTCATTATTTTGTTTTTTTGGTTTCTTGTTATCGTCTATGTTTTTAGATTTGTCAATTTGTTTGGGAATTTAGCCTTGTTTTTATGTCATTGAGCAAACATGCTCTATGGGAATATGGATGGTTGTGTCAAGCCCGTTACGTGTTTAGTGATTTGGGTTGCTTTTTCAGGGTTGATCGTTTCTAAAGCTCATCATAGGGTTTACAGTCGTAGTTATTGGAATCTAGTTGGTGTCAGATTTGATTTTCTTTTGATTGATGTAAATGATCCTGAAACTTACGATAAAAAAAACTAAGAGATTAAGAGAAGAAGTGAAAGAAGAAATGAGAAGATAAAAACTTACCTGAAAGAAGAATCAAATGCCAATCTGAGATTTAACTTGCCAAGGAAGGGGAAGAGTTTGATTTGTGATAGAGAAGAAGACATGGAGTCATTGTGGACGGCAGGAATTGCCCAACCTCTTATTTAAAGAGGAAAATTCTATAAAAACTTGCAACAACTGTATTGTTAAAGAGTTAATTATCAAAATAGGACTAAAAGTCATTCACTTTTCACAAATACGATCAAAAAATAAACTATGTTTGCATAGGACTAATTATGTGTACCTTGGACAATTATACCCTTATAGTTATTAAAATGTTTTAATTCCTAATAAAATAATAAAAAATAATAAAAATTCGTAAAAAATACTAAAAAAATTAAGAAAAACATTTCGATATTAAAAATATAATTAATTTTTTTTTTCAAAAAATTAAATAAATTAAAAAAAAATTAAAAAAAACTAAAAAAAATCACCGCCGCCTCTGCCGCCTCAGCACCACCACCTCCAGTCACCGGGGAAAAAAACGCCAAGTTCATTACGAATGCCATATTTATGGCAGAAAAAATGAAAATGTTGGCATTCGAAAAGAGGAATATGCCACTTTTTTTGGCATTTTCAGAAAAAAATGACATTTTTCTGGGAAAATGACATTTTTTTCATCGGCCGGAGGTGGTGGTGCTGGGAGGTAGTACAGGCGGTGGGAAAGGCATCCATATTTTTTTAAATTTTTTTTACGGAGTTTTAATATTTTTTATTAATTTTTCTAAAAATAAAATTATTTTAAAAAAAGGTTTTTGAATTTTTTATTTTATAAAAATTTTATAAATTTTTTAATTATATTTCTACGAATTTTTGAATTTTTTTCGAATTTATTATGAAATAAACATTTAATTATGACTTTTGACTATTTTTAATTCATATTTAATGGAAGGGTGAGAATGGAATGCAAAAATAGGTATGTTTCCAATAGGACTTATATGGTCCTATTTTGGAATAAAAACATAGCAAGTCCTATTTTAGGTTTTTGCCATAGTTTTAGTCCTATTTGAACTAATTTCTATATTGTTAAATTGACGACAATCCCAGAGGCTCTTAAGGACTATGTTCATTATGTTGTGCCTAGGTTAGCTGTTGCGATTTTTCGGTCTGTTCTGACTATACAGCTTTAAGAATGTTTGGGTTGTGCTCACAAATCATTACTTTTATTATTATGCATCATTTTTTATCAATACTTGTATGAATAATTATGAATTAAAAAGTTAGAAACTCTTTGTTTTAAACTTAGATCTCCGTTAAAAACTTATGAATCCTAAATCTTCCGATAGTTGAAAGTTGAAACTCCATACTTTCTTTAAACTATAAAAGTTAAAAGTTACGATTTACGAATTTTAATACTAGTATATTTTTGTAAAAATTAGAGTGCGAATAAAAAATTATAACATTTCCTATGGGTCCTGCAGCCCGCTTTCTCCTTCTTTCTCTCTCGGGTAGCAAACCTGTTGTTTCCTTTTCTTCGTGTGGGCGAATGGAGGATAGATTCCCCATCCTCTACCCTTGATTGCCCACCTAAAGGTGGATCCATCACATCTATTCTTTACAGTTTTCACCCATGGATTGCTACCAGCCTTACATCACTTCTCAAAGCATTAAACAAACCAGCACCCCTGATATATACATTAGCCAATTTTCCATTAAGTATATTATATATGGAGTACATACGAAACATAACTAAAATGCATCAGCACTTCCAGTTTTCAAGCACTACTACTATTAGGCCATAGGATCGATTTACAACACTAAAGTTCAATAACGCATCTTTAAATGTCTCCGAATAAAATAGCCCACCAACAAATGGGGTAAAGTTGATGAGGATAACCATCATAGCATGCAGTCTGTTCTGGCCGGAAGCCTTCTGAAGAAATTAAGAGGCGCTGAAGGGAGTTTGTGACGGAACCTCGGGTGTCGCAAGACGTAAAACCCAGACAGGAGGGCGACAACTTGAAAAGGAGTGATATAGAGAACAATGGCGGCAATCAGACAGAATATCACAAACAGTGCTGTGGCTCTCGGGTCCCTCCAGCTCAGCAAAGATTGCAACCTTTCACCCTGGGTAGCCAAATCCCCGACCACTGTCTGAATCCTACCGGCAATGCTCCTTAGGCGGTCGTACCTCATCCTCACCACATCCGGAGGACGGGAAGTCGGGAAGGTATCAAACTCCTCATCCAGCTCATCAGGATGTGCATTCTCAGCACATGACAGTCGGGTGTCCATGTGAGGCGGGTGGCGTGGCCTCCACCTGTAGTGCCAAACCCCGATCAGGAAGAGGTATAGGCAAATGGTCGGGAGGATGAGTTCCGGGTAGAGGACCAAGATCAAGAAGAGTATGTGGATGAGAACAGTTGTTATCGGGTTCTTCCAGTTGCATATCTGGTCAAACCATCTCCCAATTGCGATCACCCCGCCTAAAACCCCCATAATCCTGAAGAAGTTTGCCTTGCTCCTCCTCATGCTCCACATGTGGGACCCAACATCAAGCATGTACTCCACCACCTCCTTCCTCAGTGGCGGCTCGGCCCGGCTCAACCTTGCCGAAACGATCTGAGTCGCCTGGTGCCTCAGGCTGTCCAGCTGCATAACAGTCAACGGGTGGATGTAATGCATTTTCGGGAGAAGAGGCTGCGAGTACATATGCATCATATTGAGCAACGAAGAGCAGGTGAACCGAACTGCCAGCTGGATCTCTCCCATCTTCTTCACTCCATTTGGATGCAAGACAAGGAGCGGGTGGGAGTGCGTGTACACGCGATCCGTTTCCAGAGTTGAAAGCCGAATCCTGACCTTTCCGATCCTCGAGTCCCTTGGCCCACTGGGCCCACCAGACTTTTCACTTCCATGGAGATGACAGTTGTCGAAAACACCGATGGTTATGGCGGTACAAGGATCAAAAACCTCCCAAGTGTACTGTTCATTCCACTTAGGGGCAAAGCTATCAATTACAGTCCTGGTCCGAACCCACTTCTGCCCGTACTTGGCAACACAATAAGCATCAGTCGCTGCCCGTCCCTCTTTCGACTTCATAGGTGATAGCCCTTGGGCACTTAGGATACCCAGTTCAAGAACACCAATATTGGATTTCCATAGCTGCTTCGCGGTCGGTCTAAGATCACTGCTATAGTGGGTGGATTCGTCAAGAACGTGATAACCCCCCTCCAGCCATATCCTCATGTGAATCTTGCTGGCAAATCTCACTTCTTTCTTATCTCCCTCGACCATGTGTTTATCAAGATTGTACCATTTTGAGTTCATCGGCCTATGGTCAAACCTACGGTCAACGAACTGCAAAGGGATAATACACCTTCCTAGAAGTTCATCCTTGTTGGACCCAACTCTGTCTTCCACACTCAAAAGCAGCGGCTCCTCAAACGGTTCGGCAACCACAAACATCAAATCCTCGTTCCACATCGGGTTGATGCTCTTGGCGGTTGAAACCCGCGTCCGCAAAGCCTGATTACCCAGAATAGCCTTGACGCACACTTCAGGATACCTGCTTTTATCATTTGGGACCAAATCTTGGGCCTCGATCACATTAACCCTCAAGTACCAAAGCTTGGGAGAGAGGTAGACCTTTGACCTTATGCTCGAAAGCCCATCGGACCCACTAACAGCCGCCGCATCTGTATGCCACGCCTCAGGGAACGCTTCATCAGCCTGAGTGCCCATCCAAATAGCCAACATAAGCTCTCCCCTGATCTTTTCACCCTTCCTGTCCACCAACCTGTACCACTGGGGAGCCAGTGGGCTGTCAGGCGGGACACGCTTCGGGATCTCATTCAGATCAAATAAGACGTGCCCGACAAAATCGTCCTTGAAAAGATCCTTATCCTTCACCTGGACATCAAGCATGGTAGCCTGCATCCTGTCCTTTGAGAAGGCGAAGACTTGGTTCCATTCCGGGTTGGTTTTTTTCTCAAAATGCCCAGTTGTGCCCTTGTAGTTTCCAAGCCTGATCTCAACGTATGGATCAAGACTCCCAGTGACGTCCTTTGCAGGCAAGTCTTTTGCTTTGACCACCCGGACATAGAGGTATTGCATCTGCTCAACGAGGTCATAGGTGCTGGTGAGCTTATCACCTGTGACCTTTCCCCCACCAAGGTGCGGTTTGGTCTCCTTAAGAGAAAAGTCTTCTTGGGGTGGTTTATGCATTTTCAACCTCTATATTCCAAACAGATGGAACAAGGAATTAGTAGTTGAAGGATGCCATAAGTTCAAATAATCACACAAATCACTACTAGTAGCTTTGGAGAAGGGGGGAAATCTCTGACAATCTAATGTTTTACACCGACAAAGAACAGATAATATTTGACATATAAAAACTAATACTCCGTACTAGTAACAAGACAAGTGCAAAAACCCTATTGGAAACGTTAGATCTGGAAGTGCCTAGCTTAAAAGCCGAATCTCAGCCATTAACTAAAAATGCTTATATGGTCTCTAGCCAAAACAAATTGGAGATTTGACTGATAACAACAAAACATATACACATTAAACCTAGAACGAAAAACAGTAAAGGCAGGAATTTATTTCCGCTGCACGTATAAAGGAACAGCAGATTCACAAACTAATAATTAAATATTTTTTCATGAAGAAACATAACCAAAAAGAACAGTTAGAGGTAGAAATGAATATACCTTGAAGGATTAGGGGAGCTAGGGAGAAGGATTTAGGGATTTGGCAGGTAAGGTTCCGAATATATTGTGAATATTACTCCACCGGGAATCAACAACTTAGAAGAACACCAAGAAAAAGCGAGGGGGGGGGGGGGGGGTGTCAGCTCTGGAATCAGGCAACGTGAAGGTGAAGGGTGGTGAGAAATGACATAGAAAAAAGGGTACGGATTTCTAGAGAGAGAAAACACAGTGCTGGCCTTCTGGAGAAAACACAGTGTTTTCTTGAGTCTTTCTCGTGGGGGCGGTACGGATATCGCTATTTGCTGCTAAATTTCCAACGTTAGACCAAATATCACACTTTTCCTTTGAGCTGAAGTAAAAACAACGGTTACGTGAAGGTGAGTTGGGGTTTAGAGAATCTGCTAAGAAATGTTGGCAAAAACATATTCTACATGAAAATCTTGTGGTTGATATTTAAACAAGTTCGAACACTTTTAAATTTCGTAGATTTTTATGAATGAATTGTTGTAAATTTACATTACTTTATGAATTTGTTATGAATTTAGTCAATTTTATGAAAAATACAAATTTGTTAAGTCAAGAATTATGTTAAGTAACATTCACAACTCTAAAAACTATAAGTGACTATAACTATACGTGTTCAGACTTGAATTTTCATCCTAAAAGATTAATTTGATAGGAGTAAGTGAATATCATAATATAACACTTTATTACTTTATAATTTTCTGAGAAGGGGTGGGCGTGACTATTGTGACTCTGACTACCTTTGTCGGTCTCATTGCCAAATGGAGAGATTAGATATCTCAGGCCACAGCCATGGGGAGGGCTAGATTGAGTCCAACACTTGTGTTAAAAAATGTGGTGTTGGTGTTTGGATCTATGTGCAATCTTATTTTAATTTCACACGTAGTTGAGGATTTGAATTGCGATGTATATTTTACTAATAAAATATGTGTGATACACGACCTACTTAAAAAAGGTGGATAGAATTGAGTAAGATGTGTTATGTGCAGTATTTCCACAGCCTTGGGACGTTATGTGCTTGTTCAATGAAACAGAAGGATTCAACTCATTTGTGGCATTCGATGTTGGGGCATCCATCCTCAAGGGTGTTATCTTCCATATTTGTTTTTGATAAATGAGTATCTGAGATTAATAAAGAATGTGATGCTTGTGTACGAGAAAAGAAAACTCAAAATGTGTTTGTATTTAATTATGCACGTGTAGCTGAGTCATTTGAAATGACACATTGTTCTAGTAATGGAGAGTTCTAGTAATGTAATCCATCCAATAATTATGAATATACTTTGGTATTGATTAATTTTTAGACAAACGGTGTAAATTGTCTACACACAGGCGTACGTTGTTGTGATATGCATAGTATTTGTAACACCCCATTTTCCCCGCCCAAAATAATATTTGAAATAATAATATATTGATAACAACCTTGATTTATTCCTTAAAAATAGATAGAGTTTTGCAGCGGAAATAACAATAATGGAAAAAGGGTGTGTTACCGCCACACTCAGCCCTCAACTTGGCTGGATGTTAAGGTTATCCACCATGAGTTCAACCGAATTAAAAACTTAAATTCAAAATTTAACAACATTATTTAAACTAAGTGAAGACTACACTTAAATCTTCTAAAGCGCTCTCAAGACTCGTCAAACATCATGAGCTTCATATTCATCATTACCTGCACAAATAAAGTGCAGAAAACGAAACAAAGAAAAGGAAACAAAAATTAGCTTTAGAGCTAAGTAAGTACTACCCAACCCCGTAAAATAATCAAGTTTGTCAAAAATAGTTTTTCATATAATACTATATATAAAAATACTCACACCACCGAAATTCTTTTCAAAACATTATTTATCAACAATCTCAAATACCCTTATAATTAAGAATAATATTTATAAGCTCCCAACAATTAATTAATATCTCAAAAGAAGTATCACTTTTCAAAAATAACTTTTGTAGCTAAAAATATCACCATTCCGAAATCAATGTCACTTTCAGATTCTTTTAAGACGGGCGAAACTCAAGATTCCTCGAGCCCAATGAATCGTTGTTGCGTACGACTCATCCCGGAATTCCGGCTCCCACCGACCACCAATTGGAAACTGAACTTCACCCTTAAGTGTGCACACCCCCTAAAAGGGATTCCAAGCCCTCCGAGTAGTAAGAAGTTCAAGTAGTTCGGACAACGTCCCCCTACCTCACAATGGGTTAGAAACCCAGGTAATTAGAAACTACTACCGCGGCCACCAAAGAACTTTTAAAGTTCTCAAAAGAAATACCGGGAATCTCCCGCCACCAATATTTACCGGGATTTCTCCCGCCACCAATAATCATCATAAACCTAAACTAACCCCGCGGTATATAGCTCTAACCACCCACACCTCGTGTTTCTCTCGAGATGTCAATAATTATTGAAAAACATTATTCCTTCTTGAAAAATCATCTCTCTATATATAGTCCTCCAGAATATCTATTTAATAGATACGTCCACCAAAAATTCACATTCATAAATACTCCAAAATTCTTTTACATAAAAATTCACTCCAAAGTCATACTAGGGATTAAATCCCAAAATATACCTTCAATATTTCTCAAATTCTTAGTCACCCCACATAGTACACATTCAAAATTCACACTTAATCACATGATGCATAATAAGCATATAATACGAGGAAATCTTTTTGGATTGGCAGAGAAACTTACCTTAAGTCCTGATGCTCCTAGTTATCTTCCTCTAATCCGGTCTCTAGATAATCACCTTTTTAATTAAGATGATAAAATTAGTCACTTATTCTATTTGTAATTACTTTACCCGATTTTCTCCTTTTATTTTATTATTCGAATTTATTAACTTAATTCATTAGTTATCCGAATTATTTGATTACTCACTTTCTATTAATAAAATTTCCTTATTAATTTCATCCATTAATTTTCAATATTTGAAATAAAATATCCGAATATAATTAACTACTACATCCAATTTTTATTCAATAATCACCATTAATTTTCTCTAATTATTATCTAATTACTTTATTTACATAACCGAAAATATTTATTTTCCTTATTTTATTCAAACATTATTTTTAGTCCAGAATATTATTTTTCAAACTCAGTGATTTATTTATTTCACCATTAATACTAATATTTCCTTATTTAATTACTTAACTAGTTTTATATGGCCTAATTTAAATAAATAGACTAAGAATTGACTTTATAAATTAATAACCGTCTAAAACTATATTTTGGGTCTATATTTGACCAAGGTTGTCCAGATATATATTTTATAATTATTTTCCATAATTATTCCCTTAATTTCATATATCTATTAACCGGTTTAATTACAATTAAATATACTAAACCTTATTTTTATTAATTTTAAATGGTCCATAAGGTCCTAGTTAGTCATGTATTTATCCTAGTTTACTCCAATATTTATTTCATAATTATTTTCGTTATTTAGTTAATTATTTACTAAATGTGTATAAATTGGCCCAATTACAATTAAATCAATTAAAAATAGCTAAAAATATTATTTTCCAATTCTGGTTGGTCCGAATATGTATATTTATACTAGGTATTTAATTTATATTTTTCCAAATTTTATTTATTTCATTTACTATTTTATTTTTAATTTTTATTGCAACTGGGCCGAACTGGCCCAAATTAAATTTTCTGGCCCAACCTGAAAAGGCCCAAAAGACAGACCGGCAGATTTCTGGGTTGTCTTCTTTCCCAGGTCGCCGGAAAAACGGGAATTCAAGGGGGGGGGGGAGGTGTTACCTCGTCGGACGAGCGAAACGGCCGGCTACTGGCTCCGTTTGGGACGGCGAATGTCGGTGGTGGGTTGGTGGCAGCGGCAGCTCCTCCCTCTTCTCCGTTTTCCGTCGAAAAGTTTTTCTCCGGCGAAACTCCGGCGAGGCTTTTCTCCCTCGTTTCACGACCGTTTTCGACGATTCTTTTTCCGTTGGATTCGTATCACGAAGGGGAAGGTTTGAGAAGTATTTTCAGGGCTTGTTTCTGGCTCAAACGGTGGGTCGAAAAAAATATATATAATATACGTATATATGTATGTATATTTCGTAGTTTTTTTTTTTGGGATGAAGAAAACGTAGGTTCTGGCCTATTATTTATAGGGAAAGATGAGGGTTTTAGGCTGAGATGTTAGAGTTGGAGTTGGAGTTTAATTTTAATTCTTTTGCACCTTTATGAGTATTAGGAGTATAATTGTTATATAATTATTATTACGTAACTAACATACGTATGTAGGAGTAATTATTATTACGTAACTAACATACTCCTAATACTAATGTTAGTATTTGAGTATAATTAGTATTACCTAGTTATATATCTATTAGGAATATACGTATGTAGTTAGTTAGGAGTATTATGAGTATTTTAATTATTTAGTTTATACTTTGTATATTATACAACCTAAAATAGTTATATAAAAATTAATTTTGTACTAAAACATAACTTCTATTATCGGGCCATTTTTATCTGATTAAAAAGTCGTAAACTTGGAAATTTTTATCTGATTAGAATGTTACAACTGTTGAATTTTTTTTTGTCTGACTCAATTAATAATTAAAATTTTATTTTCGTAATATTTTATCTGATTAATAAAAATTATTTTTATTTTTATTTAAATTTTTGAAGTGTCACAGTATTATCCGTGTGGGCAGACGAGTTCATTTCCGTTGTACACAAATTAAATGTCTATATGAGCATATGAGAGGTGTGTGTATATGTTGTATAAGATGTTGAGTTTTGTGGTTGTTTATGTTGTTGTGTTAGCGCAGGGGTGGGGGTTGGTGAGAGCCTAGGATTAACAGAGCTGAAACTCCCTTCATGGAGTTTCAAATGCGAGACCTCTTGTATGGGAAAGTGAGTTGACGATTAGCTGAGCTGGACCACTTCCTCTATGTTGTTGTAGTTGTTGTGGCTTTATGTGTACTTTGGTATTTGTTAATTATCAGACAAGTGGTGGAAGTTATCTGTACGCATAGACGTACGTTGTTGTGATGTGCATAATACTGTCTATACGTACAGATGTATTGTAACACCGCCCCCAAGTATTTGTACTTTATCAAATTATGTATTGAACCCTGAGAAATGTATAAAAGCATTTTTACGTGATTGTAAATTTTTATCATTTCTTTTACGTGAATAGTAAAATTCACGTGGGGCCCACACCGGAAGTGGGGGGCCGCCCAGTACTGTCGGGACCACATGTTATATTAATCTTGGCCTAGATAATATGTATATGATGGTGGATATCTTAATTGGGCCGTGGCAATGGCATAGGGTTGACCGGTTGGTCAAACGGGGCCAAATTATCACTATCGGCAATTTATCAGATAACAACCCGAAAAGTGATTTCG